GTTTTAGTATGTGAATGTGAATGTGAATGTGAAAAAAAGCTCGTTTTATAGTCAGGTTAGAAATTGTTCCAGTAACCCAATTTTTACTTAAAGAATGTATGATAATGTGCATGGTGGTGATTATTGGTTTGTATGTAAAGAGTTATATACTGTTTAATTTGTAAAGGGACAGCAACACATTAGATCTGAGAAGGGTAGTTTACCTTTTAAAAATCATTAGATCTATTTTATTTACACAGTGAGATTTAGTTCACAGGCGTAGGGATGTAGGGACCTCGTTGCCCTGTGCTCCCTTACCAGAGGGTGGGGAATGCAGCGGTCAGCCCTGTTTCTCCTACCTATAAAGGAGCAGTTGACCGCTGTTCTCACCTTTTGATATACCCAACTTTCAGTGCCCATTATTCCTTCCCTACCCTTGGTTCCAACAGGTGTATCGAGTAACTTGGAGGCACACGATCATTAGGATTGCCTCCCCTCCCCATTTCCTTCACATTGGGGTAGATGTAACTCTTTAGGTGAGGTGAAAACATCTAGGGAAAACACCCTAAATAAATTCTTATAAATAAAGAAAAATAAAAGGTTAAAGAACATGGGAATAACGGATGTACTAAATGTGGTAACATGGAAGGTTTGTGGCAAAATCACTTCAGAGGGTTTGCAATGAACCCACTAGACTCCAACGATGCCTTCACTCCTATTACAGCCTTCGGTACATTATATCAGAAGAAAATACCCACAGATACAATAATCGGTTACTTCAATCCACCATGTGCTCTTCAGGTCTGGAAGTACTTGTCCTTCTGTTAACTTTAAAAATTTAACAAGACAATTGAGAGGTGTTAGAACGAAGTACAGAATGTAGAAAGCATTGAAGTTCTTTATGAAAATATTGCTGACTCGCTATCTTAAGTTCTGTTCTCTTCCTTCAATTAGTAAACGATTTGCCATTGACAATTAGAAATAAAATGACCAGTTGTTTTACAGATATAAATATTCTTCAATAAGAGAAACAATATTAAATGTACCAAATTACAAGCTTTTACTAAAACACTTTTACTAAAATAACTTAATAGAAGTAAATTAACTGAAAACCATTCAATGCCAAATTTTCCATTTCAAATAAACAGTTGCAACTTGTACTGATGTTCAATTGAATAGTGTTAAAATAGCAACATTTTTGGCTCTCTAAATTCAATTAAACCTCAAATGGATTGCTCCATAAATGAACTGAAGAAACAATTAAGTTCATTATGTTATGCATTTGGAATATTTTAATAGTCAGCTTGCACAAGTCATTACGTTTATGCTACACAAGTATAATACCATCTTAAATATGTAATTTATAAGATGAGTTTGTCTCCAATATGTTCCCAAAAGTATTTTAAATGGAATAAACAAATCCCATCAACGTGCTTCCAGCGAGCCTCTTTACTATGATTAATATTATACTGTTGCTTTGTCTTTCACAAACCAATGGTTTTACTCAAAATTGACTTTCTGTCTGTGTGAGCTTTATTCCATCGAACAAAGATAACAATAAATAGACACACAATTTGGGAACCATTTTGGTTAAAAGTCGCCAGTGAGAGTTCATTTCAAAAATCTATAGAATATGTACATTATTTTACAACACATTGACTGTTGGCTAAAAGCAGTAAAAATAGTTATGTAATATTAATTGGCAAATAAACAAGAAAAAATTAAAAAGGCCATTTTCTTCTGTCTTGAAAATAAAGTTTCTCCTTTTAGGAACATGTGAGTCAACTTGAACTATTGTCTTTGAACAGGTGCAAATCCATGGGGAGGGAAATGAGGGAAATCTCCCCCTCCCCTAAAATTTTTCAGTAATTATTAATTTTAACCTGTCATGAAACTTTCAATCAAAAATATTTTCAAATAATAATTAAAACGAATGAAATAGTATCGCAGCATTAACCGAGTGTAGCCTGCTATGTTTTACAAAATCTGTAATTACACATTTGACTAAAACATATGCAATATTATGCAATTGTTTTATGAGAAATGATAACTCTCCTGTACATGTTCTAGGATTTGTGAAGCAAGTAGGTCCGCGAGTCTCAATTGTGAAATAAATCAATACCAAGCAATTAAGCACAAAGGATAATGAAGAAACAGGAAGCCTTAACTCAATATCAATTGATAATTGACAATGTGAGAGAGAAATAATAAAAGTAAAAAGAGAAGAAAAAAAAAAAAAAAAAAAAAAGTATTATTTCAAATTTTGTAAAATTGCCTGTAGCAGTTTACATATTAGAAACAGCAGGTTTTCCTCTAGTGGGGTGATTAAAATTTATGGAAGGCATTAAAAGTCTTTGGAATTAGTGTTTGGAGACGTGTGTCACAGGTACGGAGAAATTATGTAATGCTGTTAAAAATTCTGCATTTATAAACATTTGTTTCTGCCAAAAGGATGAATTTAACAGTAAAATTGAGACAAAGTTAAAATTGTAAACCATTATGAAATGCAATAAAACAAGAAATGTTTGAACTAAAATTTGATTTTGCTCATTTTGTCAATTTTTATCCTACATCGTGCATGTTTGGCTATTTGCTAGTGCAAGTTTGCAAGCATATTTTAACATTTGAAAGTGCATGGAAATCCCGACTCTTTTCATTAGACATTATGCTTTCATGTAGTCATTCCCAGGTCAATCTAACAAAATCATAAGAGATCTCTTAACCACAGTCAGAAATATAGTTTCTATCAATTTAGTGCCTTTATTTGAATTAGTAATGTAGATACAATAGTTGGAGTGGCACCTCAGAGACAGGTGTCATTAGGAATGGTCCACCTCCACACCTCAATTCTCCATGGTGAAATGTCACTGATGATGCTGAAGAATTAAATTGTTGATTTCAAGCGATTGCTACAAAGCTTTTTCAAAGAACATGTTTGATAATTTTATTCTTCATTCATTTAAAATGTCAACAAAAATAGGACAAATACACTTCTCATGTCATACTTTACACATTTCACATTAATTAGCAATATAACAGTCTTATGTACTGCTTACAGTCAGTATTAATCATTCCATAAAAATGAGCAAAACATAATTAATACTGAAAATATAAAAGCACTTAAGTAGTATTGTGCCTAGATCTCAAACTTCAAACCACATTTGAAGCTGTTTTGACCATTTACTGTATATCTAGATAGTGGAAATAATGAAGAGAAATAAAATTGCACACCTCGATTGTTTTTCAACACAGAATGTGCCATTTCAAAATTTCACGTAAAGTATTATAATCTGATATTTTTTGTTTTTATTCAAAGTAGCAGGTTTATGCACCTTTTGCATATATTTTTATAACAATCAATAATATTCATCACAATTTTGTTTGCACCATGTAAACATTAGATGAAATACACACAATTACATGCCTTATACCAGGGAGAGCAGACATGAAATGTCGATAGACAGAGACGATAATAAAAACAGTATTGAATAGAGCTGTGTATATTTTATATTTGCTGAAATGATAATCTGTCCGAATTCTCCGTCAGTATGCGATTTACTTGCATAACTTCCAAAATGCACATACTGAATAAATCTACTGAAAGAAATAACAATAGTGAAATCATACAGAGAAATTATATCCACCTTACATTGAGATGAATAGGAAGTTGTTTAAACGAGGGTATATTTAAAAGTTTCAAATTGAATCCAGAACTGGTTAAAAAAAACTGAACTGAACTAAATAAATACTGAAAAGAGAATTTGATCCAAAATCAAGGCTTGGGGTGTCTAGCCGGTACATGGAGAATTTTACAGACAGGAGGAATGCTAACACACCTTTGAGGACTCCGGCTACTTGCAGGTATAAATGTCCAGAATGTTGAGAATAAATAACATTTATTTTACTTCAATTGAAAAGTTACTGACATTGTTCATTCAAGGCCGAATAACAATACAAAAGACCCCCCCTCCTGCGCCACTCCTGGTTGCACTAATGGACAAGTCCCAAATATTTTTAATGAACATTAATACTTTGTACTTGTGACAATCAAAAAATGTTGTTGCTTGAAGAAAAAGGTGCTGACAACTTAATTTTTTAGATAGTAGAGGTTCTCATTCAAGAAGACAATTTAGTGAAAGACTTTGGAAATTTTAAGATCTGAACAACCTACCACATCACATTATTCTTAAATAACTCATGTTGATATTTTACATCAATATTATTGTTAACAAAAGAGATGTGTTGAAGGTTATCCAATAAGTGTTGTCATCAAAAGGTTGTATGGAAGTAAGATAATGTTGGGAAAAAGGCATTTGGCTGACCTCCCCGAAAAATATACATGTGGAGATGCGAACGTTTGGATTGACGTTGGGCGCATATCTGTATTTTCAGGCTACGGCAGCGACGGGCAATCACGCTTACGAGTTCCACCAACGAGCTAAAAGTATACCAATATTCTATAGCTCTTCGGTTGTTCAAGAGGTCCCCGGAGCGTGTTGAATTGCAACCATTACTATACGTATCTTGGATGCGAACGAATCATAATCGTTTGGATACATCGATAATTAGATTTATTTAAAGACTATGAATTTTTTGAACATGTGTTCTAATGTAACGAGCACACTTGCCAGAGAGGCGAGAGCTTGAGAGATTGGCAACCGTGCAGGGGAGTGCTCGCTAGCTGTCGACCCAAAGCAAGAGCCACCTCAGGCGTCGGTGGAGCTGGCGGCGCCGGCGGCGGGGGCGGCGGCCATAGGCGGCAGCGCACGGGCGGGCGCCGTCGGTGCAGCTGCTGCGGGGCGAAGACGGCGGGCCCGCGCGGCTGGGCGTGCGTTGCCTGCTGTTGTTGTTGTTTGTTTGCGTTGTCGCTGTGGGCGACGTATGCACCTTGAGGCAGGGCGTCGTCGGCGGTGGGCGCGGGGGGCCCAGTGCCGCGCCAGGTTGTTCTTGAGCCAGCCCTCGGCCGGGCGGCGGGCGGGCTGACGGCCCGGGCGGCAGCGGGTCGCCGGCGCAGCTCCGACAGGCAGGCAGTACATGAGGCCCAGGTGCAGCAGGCACCCGCCTGCGCACACGACAACCAGCGTTACACACAGCGCCCTCCACGTGGCAGGACTCATTATTCATCCGCACAAAACAGTAAAAATAAAGAGTGGCCTATACTTCGTTTACAACAGTGTTCGTTCAAGGACACGAGCTGAAAGAAGGGGAACACTTTCATCCAATTGGGAGCTTCAATACTGAAAATGTAAGTCGTAACGCGGGTGGATGACAGTGCTCGCTCCTGCCAACTGAAGATCTTGAAGGGACACTGGTTTAACTGAAGAGTATATGGCGTTTTGGAAAAAGTATACGTTCTCTGCTAAAATTGACATTTTTTAGGCTTCTGAAGATAACTTTATTTCGCCGACGCTTTGTTAAGCTTTCCTTTATATAATTGTGGTTGGAATAGTCGGCGATAATGGTTACTACACTGAAGATTACATTATGTTATGCATTTGGAATATTTTATAGTCAGCTTGCCACCAATCATTACGTTTATGCACACAAAGTATAATACCATCTTTAAATATGTAATTTATAAGATGAGTTTGTCTCCAATATTGTCCCCATAAATGTATTTTAAATGAATAAACCAAATCCCATCAACGTTGCTTCCAGCGGAGCCTCTTTACTATGATATATATTATACTGTTGCTTTGTCTTACAAACCAATGGTTTTACTCAAAATTGACTTTTCTGTCTGGTGTGAGCCTTTATTTCCATCGAACAAAGATAACATATATAATAGACACAATGTTGGAACCATTTTGGCTGAAAAAGTTTCTAGTGAGAGTTCATTTCAAAAATCCAAGAATATGCTACATTATTTTACAACAACATTGACTGTTAGGCTACAAAAGCAGTAAGAATAGTTCATGTAATATTAATTGGCAAATAAAACAAGGGAAAAATTAAAAGGGCATATTTCTTCTGTCTTGAAAATAAAAGTTTCTCCTTTTAGGAAACATGTGAGTCAACTTGAACTATGTCTTTGAACCAGGTGCAAATCCATGGGGAGGGAAATGAGGGCAAATTTCCCCCCCCCCCCCTAAAATTTTCCAGTAATTATTAATTTAAAACCGTCACATGAAAACTTTTCAATCAAAAGTATTTTCAAATATAATTAAAACGAATGAAATAGTATCGCAGCTGAACCCGAGTGTAGCCTGCCTATTGTTTTAAAAAATCTGTAATTACAACATTGACTAAAACATATGCAATAATATGAAATTGTCTTGGGCCGTATTCGTGTTTATGAGAAAATGATAAACTCTTCCTGAAACATGTTTCTAGGATTTTGAAGACAAGTAGGTCCGCTGAGTCTCAATTGTGAAATAAATCAAATTACCAAGCAATTAGCCACAAAGGATAATGAAGGAAACAAGAAGCCTTAACTAAATATCAATGATAAACTGACAATGTGAGAAAAGAAGTAATCTAGAGCAGACTGACGTAAATTTACATGGGCAAAAAACAGATAAAATTAGTCTAAAAACATGATATTGTAAAAAAAAAAAAAGTATTATTTCAAATTTTGTAAATTTCCTGTAGCAGCTTTACATATTAGAAAAAGCAGCGTTACCCTCTAGTGGGCGTAATTAAAATTTTGGAAGTCATTAAAAAGTCTTTGGAATTAGTGTTTGGAGACGTGTGTCACAGGTACGGTGAGATTATGATGCTGTTAAAAATTCTGCATTTATAAACATTTGTTGGTCTGTCAAAAGGATGAATTTAACAGTAAAATTGAGGAAAAATTTTAAATGTAAACCATTAAATAAATCATAAAACAAATGTTTGAACTAAAATTTCGTATTGTGCTCGTCTTGTACAATTTTTATCCATTACATCATGCATGTTTGGCTAAGTTGCTAGGTGCAAGTTTGGCAAGCTTATTTTTAAACATTTGAAACGTGCATGGAAATCCCGACTCTATTTCATTAACATTATGCTTTCATGTAGTCATTCCCAGGTCAATCTCAACAAAATCATAGCAGATCTCTTAACACAGTCAGAAATATAGTTTTCTATCAATTGTAGTGCCTTTATTTGAATTAGTAATGTAGATACAATAGTTGGGTGAGCCTCAGAGACAGCGTGTCATTGGAATGGTCCACCTACCACTACCTCAATTCTCTGGTGAAAATGTCACTGATGATGCTGAAAGAATTAAATGTTGATTTCAAGCGATTGCTACAAAGCTTTTTCAAAAGAACATGTTTTGATTAATTTTATTCTTCATTCATTAAAAATGTCAACAAAAATAGGACAAATACACTTCTATGGTCATAACTTTACACATTTCACATTAATTAGCAATTATAACAGTCTTATGTACTGCTTACAGTCAGCTATTAAACATTCCATAAAAAATGAGAAAACATAATTAATACTGAAAATATAAAAGCACTTAAGTAGTATTGTGCCTAGATCCTCAAAACTTCAAACCACATTTGAAGCTGTTCTTGACCATTTACTGTATATCTAGATAGTGAATAATTGAAGAAATAAAATTGCACACTCGATTGTTTTTCAACACAGAATGTGCCATTTCAAAAATTTCACGTAAGTATTATAATCTGATATTTTTTGTTTTTTTCAAAGTAGCAGGTTTATGCACCTTTTGCTATATTTTTATAACAATCCAAAATATTCATCACAATTTTGTTTGCACCATGTAATACATTAGATGAAATACACACAATTACATGCCTTAATACCAGAGAGCAGAGTGAAAGTCGAATAGGACATGAGACAATAATAAAAACAGTATTGCATATAAGCTGTATAATTTTAACATTCGTGCAAAAATGTAACTTGGGACGGAATTCTGATAGTATGCGATTTACTTCATAACTGTGCCAAAATCGACATACTGAGATAAATCTACTGAAAGAAATAACAATAGTGAAATCATACAGAGAAATTATATCCACCTCATTGAGATTGAATAGGAAGTTTTTAAACGAGGGTATATTTAAAAGTTTCAAATTGAATCCAGAACTGGTTAAAAAAAACTGAACTGAACTAAATAAATAGCTGAAAGAGAATTTGACCAAAATCAAGGCTTGGGTGTCTGCCAGGTACATGGAGAATTTTACAGACAGGAGGGAATGCTAACACACCTTTGAGACTCCGGCTACTTGCAGGTTATAATGTCCAGAATGTTGAGAATAAATAACATTATTTTACTTCAATTGAAAAGTTACTGACATTGTTCATTCAAGCCGAATTAACAATACAAAAGACCCCCCCTCCTGCGCCACTCCTGGTTGCACTAATGGACAAGTCCCAAATATTTTAATGAACATTAAATACTTTGTACTGTGACAATCAAAAAATGTTGTTTGCTTGAAGAAAAAGGTGCTGAAACTTTAATTTTTTAGATAGTAGAGGTTCTCATTCAAGAAGACAATTTTAGTGAAAGACTTTGGAAATTTTAAGATCTGAACAACCTACCACATCAACATTATTCTTAAATAACTCATTGTTGATATTTTACCATCAAATATTATTGTTAACAAAAGAGATGTGTGAAGGTTAATCCAATAAGTGTTGTCATCAAAAGGTTGCTATGGAAGTAAGATAATGTTGGGAAAAAGGCATTGCTGACCTCCCCGAAAAATATACTGTGGAGATGGAACGTTTGGATTGACCGTTGGGCGCATATCGTATTTTTCAGGCTACGGCAGCGACGGGCCAATCACGCTTACGAGTTCCACCAACGAGCTAAAAGTATACATATTCTATCTCTTCGTTGTTCAAAGGTCCGCCGGAAGCGTGTTTGAATGCAACCATTACTATACGTATTCTTGTATGCGAACGAATCATAATCGTTTTGGATACATCGATAATTAGATTTATTTAAAGACTATTGGAATTTTTTGAACATGTGTTCTAATGTAAAGAGCACACTTGCAGAGAGCGAGAGCTTGAGAGATTGGCAACCGTGCAGGGTGAGTGCTCGCTAGCTGTCGCGACCCAAAGCAAGAGGCCACCTCAGGCGTCGGTGGAGCTGGCGGCGCCGGCGGCGGGGGCGGCGGCATTAGGCGGCAGCACGGCGGGCGCCGTCGGTGCAGCTGCTTGGGGGCGAAGACGGCGGGCCCGCGCGGCTGGCGCGTTGCGTTGCCTGCTGTTGTTGTTGTTGTTTGCGTTGTCGCTGTGGGCGACGTGCACCTGAGCAGGGCGTCGTCGGCGGTGGGCGCGGGGGGCCCAGTGCCGCGCCAGGTTGTTCTTGAAGCCAGCCCTCGGCCGGGCGGCGGCGGGCCTGAGGGCGGAGCGGCAGCGGGTCGCCGCGCAGCTCCGACAGCAGGCAGTAAACATGAGCCCAGGTGCAGCAGGCACCCGCTGCGCCACACGACAACCAGCGTTACACACTCGCCCCCACGTTGGCAGGACTCATTATTCATTCGCACAAAACAGTTAAAAAATTAAAGAGTGGAGACCGTAGACTTTCGTTTACAACAGTGTTCGTTGCAAGGACACGAGCTTTGAAAAGAAGGCGGGAACAACTGTTCATTCCAATTGGAGCCTTCAATACTGAAATGTAAAGTCGTAAACGCTGGTGGATGACCCAGTGCTCGCTCCTGCCAACTGAAGATCTGAGGGACACTGGTTAACTGAAGAATATATGGCGTTTTGGTAAAAAGTATAGTTCTCTTGCTAAAAAAAAAATTGGGGGGGGGGGAACCATTTTTTTTTTAAAGGGGGCTTTCTTGAAAGGATTAAAACCTTTATTTTTCCCGCGCGGGGGACGCTTTGTAAGGCTTCCTTTAAATATAATTGTGGTTGGAATAGTCGGCGATAATGGTTACTGACACTGAGTGGTAAAAAAAAAAAAAAAAAAA